TGCCGTGTGGAACTTGATGAAGCAAAGGTTAAGCAGTTCAAGGATGCAATTGAGAATAATTACTGGCTTGAATTCTTCATGGGTATGTTGCACTGTTCTTTCACGTATTAGAGAATTGTTAGAGTGATTATACAATTGGACAGTCAAGAAATTCTAGACACTGGCAACATTTTTTTTTCTCCCGTATTTGGCCATTGCATAAACTAAGGGGGCTGGGCTAAATAATATCCACCCTGCAGGATATTGCCTTTAACTCTGTCTTTGCTACCCAATCAGCTGTTAGATACAGTGTTTGAATCAACTTCAGGGACATGCAACTGGAAGCCCAACAATAGATTTTAATTGTGATTAAATCTTACAATCATCCAGGAAGATACCTGCTCTTGTATTCATGCAATTGCTTTTGAGAGTCTGAGAAGCCTAGTTCAGTGCTGATAGGGAAGGAGAGGCTCACAGCTAGGTCTTTGATTAAATTATTGAATGCATGGTTATACTGAATTTTGTGCAATAGTTTCAATTGAAAAATCAGAGTTCTTTAAATTGAAGAAATGTACTTGACTTATGTCTTTCTTTGTAAGTTGTGGCATTAGTGAGGTCATGTGAATTCTTTCCCAAATTCTATGAACAGTAGACATTCATATTAAACATTTTGTCATGTTTACATTCATAGAGAATTATTAATGAGTAGTTACAACATTTCATTGTGTGGGAAAATAAAATATAAATCATTAATGTGTACACGATGAAGCTTATATTTTACACATTATTGATTATACAGCATGACACTCATTTACCGAATTAAAAATGCATGAGCCTGGAAGAGCAATGCCCAGCTCAATTTTGATCCTTCAATAACTACAACCACAAGTCCTATCAGGCTGGGTGGTTTGTGATGTACATAGTCATCAAAGATGAAAGAAGGATGAAGTTAAGAATTCTTTGTGTGAAATCATTGCTTAAGCAGTCATATTTTGATGTCTTTACTCTTGATAGGTGTATTGACGTGAGTGAGGGTTCATTCTATGGGTTGGCCCTTATTATTTTATTCTTCTTTATAAATTTTCTGAGTAACTTACTCTTGGCATTCTTTCTTTCCTTGGTTGTTCTATTTGTTGATTGTCGATGCGCTAAACACAAGTTCAGATGACCTTCCATTGTGGGGTATGCCTACAACTGCCACTTTCTCTTTATTTGATTTGATTTTGCATTTCATTGGTTCATCATTGTAAATGGTTCTTTCATTCATGTTTAAGGGTATGTTGGCGAGCTACATCCTGATAAGAACAGTGATAATGGCAAGCATGTCCTTTACACACACAAGAACATTAATGTTAAATACAATAAAGATCAGGTCAGAAGTTATTTATAGTCTTTACTATCTTATGCTGTTTTGGGATTCATGGAGTGCTTATTTATCTCCATCTTATTGCAGATCATTCATGTTAATCTAACTCATGACAACCCAAAGCCTCTGGAAGTAGGAAGACCTTTGGACATGACATATTCTGTCAAATGGACCCCTACTAATGTCACTTTTGCACGCCGGTTTGATGTATACCTGGACTATCCGTTCTTTGAGCATCAGGTGAAAATAATTGCTGCCAGCTTTGTATTTTAGATTGAAGAGGTGTTTATTGTTGGTTATCTACTCCGTGTTCATTCATGTTGTCCTAGCCATGTAACTGAGAATGTTGATCCTTTTTCTTTCTCTAGATTCATTGGTTCTCCATTTTTAATTCTTTTATGATGGTCATCTTCCTTACTGGATTGGTGTCAATGATCTTAATGCGAACTTTGAGAAATGACTATGCAAAGTATGCTCGGGAGGATGATGACTTGGAAACTCTGGTGAGGCTTTGTTGATGTCTGTCTGTTACTACTACTATTACTACCATTATTTTAAATTTATGTGTGGAACACAGATTCTGTTTTTCTGGATATTCCATTGTGGTTCTGATTGTCAATTGTTTTTTAATCCCCTAATACTTCCAGGAAAGAGATGTTAGTGAAGAATCTGGCTGGAAACTTGTGCATGGTGATGTTTTTCGGCCTCCTCGCAGTTTGGTTGTTCTTTCAGCTGTTGTTGGTACAGGTGCTCAACTTGCATTGCTGGTTCTTCTTGTCATCTTGTTGGCTATTGTTGGAATGTTGTATGTTGGGTAAGTCCATAACCATAAACTAACTATAATATTATTTTGTACATATACATCTCAACTATCATCGAATGTTCCATTTCTCTAGTTCTCCTATTGATTATATTTTTTTCTTTTCATTCCTTTCCCCCTTCATTTTCCTTCAATGTGCAGACGTGGAGCCATTGTCACAACCTTCATTGTATGCTATGCTCTCACGTCTTTCATTTCTGGTTATGTGAGTGGAGGGATGTACTCACGCAATGGGGGTAGGAATTTGTATTGAACTGTGCTACATGTTTGTTTGGGTCTCTCTCTCTCTCTCTGAATGATGATAACTGTGCTCTTCATTTTCAGGTAAAAATTGGATTAAATCCATGATCCTTACAGCATCACTGTTTCCATTCATGTGCTTTGGAATTGGATTTATCTTAAACACAATTGCTATATTCTATGGATCTCTGGCTGCAATCCCCTTTGGTACTATAGTTGTTGTTTTTGTTATTTGGGCTTTTATCGCTTTCCCTCTAGCACTTCTTGGCACAGTTGTTGGAAGAAACTGGAGTGGTGCTCCAAATAATCCATGTCGTGTGAAGACCATCCCTCGTCCCATTCCTGAGAAGAAGTGGTACCTCACACCATCTGTAGTTTCTCTGATGGGAGGACTGCTTCCCTTTGGCAGCATATTCATTGAGATGTATTTTGTATTCACTTCCTTCTGGAATTACAAGGTGAATTAAAATGCAATTAAAAGTTTTTTTTTCTTCCCTTGGTTTGGTGTAATGTTTACATATGCTGTATTCGATTAGAGCCAATCATTATATCTTGAGAACAATATTTCTATATTCGTGTGAAAGCTAAGTACATGCATAGTTTCTTATGTGTTTTTTCCCCCTTCCACTCTGTGACAAACAGGTGTACTATGTCTATGGCTTCATGCTACTGGTTTTTCTGATTCTTATCATCGTTACTGTTTGTGTAACAATTGTGGGGACCTACTTTTTGTTAAATGCTGAGAACTACCACTGGCAATGGACTTCTTTCTTTTCAGCTGCCTCAACAGCTGTTTATGTGTATTTGTACTCAGTATATTACTACTATGTGAAGACGAAGATGTCAGGTTTCTTCCAAACCAGCTTCTATTTTGGATACACTTTGATGTTCTGTCTTGGACTGGGAATTCTCTGCGGTAAGTCTTCAGTTTAATTGTAATCTCTGTTTGGATTGTGTGTTCACTCTACAGTAACATGATATCTTAGTTAAGTGGTGCATAACTCTTTTTAGTATTAATGCTAGTGTGTTCTTATCACCTGAATTGGATTAAGCTTTTCTCCAAATATGCAGGAGCTGTGGGTTATCTCGGTTCGAATTTGTTTGTGAGGAGGATCTACAGAAACATCAAGTGTGACTAAGGCTTTTCTAGGAGTCTGAGACCAAAGCACTTCCATATGTTTGTTGGTGGAGACAATAAATTTGTTAGAGGAAGGCTCTGGTCATGTGTGGGGACCAAAGAATGTTTACAGGTAGTATCACAGGGTTGAGGATGGGGATGTATTTTTTTTCTCTATATTAGGGGATGTATTCATTCTCTATGCTAGGAAAGCCCTGAGATTTTTTCCCTGACTGTGGTTGAAAGCCTTGATTTAGAATGCAGGGATTGGTCTTTATAATTTAGATAGCTAGCAAAATATGAGACTCGTTGCTACTACTTTTTTCATCCTTTTTATAAATAGGTGCCCGATTGACGGACTGATGTCTGATTCCCCTACACGGTTTAGCTATTGTACGTAGAGGGGATGAAGTCTCGGAAATGAATTTTGTGCTTCTGAATTTTGTATCAAATATCAATATCCTTTCTAACTACTCCCTATTCCCTGCACATCTCTCCATGTTTCAGTTTTTAATCATTGACGTGTTATTTTTCGTTTTTGCCTTCTAACGTGAGACACGATTTTATCCAAAGAATAAATGTATGGATAAACATTCTGTGCTGCTGCATACTCGGTTTCTTAAAGGTGCTCTGTTTTAGTCCTTTCCGGTACTTTGGAGGTTTTCGTAGAACATGAGGCGTAAAATGCTGCACAGCAAGGATAAACATTCATACTGTGGGTGGATGTCAACAAAATTAATTTTGAAATGAAATGGTTTATGTTTAGATTCATTTTCTGAATGTTAGTTGTAAAACTAAGATTCAATATAAAATTTATACAAAGTAAAGGTTATTTAAAGTTGTTTTAACTTTAATTTTAGACTTGGAATTAATTTTTTAAAGTAATATTAAACACGTGAGTATTTATTTAATATTATGTTAATATTATTTTAGAGAAATGTTAGGAATATATTCTGACACATTTTTCTTAAATTATGTTTTTTTAATCTAATTTAAATGGTATTCGAAAACATACAGAATGGTTGTAGAGAGAAAAGTATCTTGCTTCTTTTTCACTCCGTTTGAGATTGTATCATTAAGCGTAATCACCGTATTTTGATTTTTTAACTGCTGGATGTGTTCACATTTGAATTTGGCCAACTTTAAAATTTAACAATCTGTTCAAAATGTATTCAAATGTGCTTGGAATATGTGGCCACACTAGCGTAATAGCATTGCAAGCATTAAGGATTTTGCGGCTCATTACTTCCCACGCAATATTTTATCGAGTTGCTGTCATAAACTTATAATCATCATCACCAAATACCAATATACTTCGGAGCCATATAATTTGTTCAAAAAGAATAATAACTTGTGCGGTGAAGATAGTGCCAACCATTATGGTCGATAATCTGTGGTGATAATAGATATGGATAGATATATTATATTGCATAAAACAATGGCACGTGGCAGATAGGGTTGCATGTAACCACAGTATTTCCACAAGCTCCCCATTAAGAAGAAGCATCAGTTAGCAGAGTCGAGAGTTTCCGTAGCAAGAGAAAATGGCCAGCACACCTGCATTGTCTGGCACTATGGCTAGCACCTCCTTCCTGAGGAGGCAACCAGTGAACACAAGCCTGAAGGCGTTCCCCAACGCTAATGTTATGTTTGGTGTAAAAGGAGGACGTGGAGGTCGTGTGACAGCCATGGCCTTGTACAAGGTGAAGCTGATCACACCAGAGGGACCACAGGAATTTGAGTGCCCTGATGATGTTTACATTCTTGACCAGGCAGAGGAGTTAAACATTGACCTTCCCTTCTCATGCAGGGCTGGTTCTTGCTCTTCCTGTGCTGGCAAAGTTAAGGATGGACAAGTGGACCAGTCAGATGGTAGCTTCCTTGATGATGACCAAATTGCTGATGGTTTTGTTCTCACCTGTGTTGCTTACCCTATCTCAGATGTTGTTATTGAGACTCACAGGGAGGACGAGCTCACTGGTTAATTCATATCTCTATCTCACCACTTTTATGTTTCTTCCATCATCAGGAATGTTGCTTTAATTTTGTGCCATTTTCTCATGCTATTTATGATGAGCAACTTATGCATTCATTACTTCGCCTGTATTACCAAGTCAACTTGTTGTAACTATAATAATCTTTTTCCACAGTAACTATAATTATCTTTTTACACACTATCCTTTCCTCTTTCCCTGCTTCAATAACAACTCCCATTTTCCTTCTTGTATACAAGCGTACGTGCATGGATTTTCTTCCTTGATGCTAACTTGTGTCTTACCTTCGTTCTTAACTCTTAACAACATGATGATGCCTTCTTACCAGTGTTCTTGACTTCTACAATGCGTTCCTAACTTGTAATAGATGTTGTTAATGCTAGCAGACAAATTGTATGGTAAAAAAACTTTTAGCTTTCATATCACTTTGTACATCTATCTTCTCTAATGTCTAAAGTTCCAACTTATTCTCATGTAAAACTTTTGCTTCCTCCCCTTTGCCATCACGCTCTTCACCATTGTAGGACGGGGTTGGGGGATTCAACCTCCTGACCCAGGGTGGATAAGAGTCAATTTTTTATTTTTTTAAAAATAAGTTTATATATTTATTTTGACTATTTCTTGTAACATATATTTTTTTTAATATATAAAGGACCATATAAATTAGTATAAAATAATATATCTAAATAATAAAATAAATATTAAATTATAATAGATCTAATTTGATTTATTGTCTAAGAAATTTCAAATTTATTATATAATAAAACAGATGTAATTATAATAATAACTCTTTAAATAAATTTATTGTACAAAAAATCTATAATTACATATAAAATAAATCAAATGCATAATATATGAGTTGCATAATAAATCACATATTACTTAGATAATAAATTCTATATGATTTATTTAAATTTAACATTAAGAATAAAAAATTATAATAATAATAAAAGTTACGCAGGTCAGTGGGTTAACCTGACCTAACTAGCATCCTCACCTGCCCTGTCAATTTTTGGGGGTCTGCAAATCTTGTTTTGCCATCTCTACAAATTTAATCAAGAGATATGTAAGTCGGATTATAAACATATGTGAATACTGTTATGAGTTAAACCTTATATTGAGTTATGCAAATGATAGTACAGCACTGAATAAGGAGATGTTTCAATGTTTGGTTCGAAAAATAATTTATTTCTCCCAGACAGGCTAGATATTGCATTTTGTTTGGTTAGCGAATTTATGTGTTGAATAAAACTTGATAGGACGACATGTAATGGAAAACGGAAGTATAAAACTTAGCAGAGAAAAGTAAAGGTCAAGGATGAGAACAATTTTATATTTATTAGATAATTACGTTGTTTTGTATGTTTTTCATTCATATATAAGATAAATACATGAAAAATAAATTATACATAATACTCATAAGTTAAGTCAATAAAACACATGTATCCATTATCTTTAGATGAATAGATTTGTCTAAAATTAGATATTTAGTAGAATGTTATTCACTAAGCAATCATAATTAATTACTAACAGTAAAAATAAAAGAAAAATTTTACTGGTTTAACTAAAAATAGACCTTTACATCCCACTTATAGGTTTTTACAATACTTCAAGGAGATTAAAAAAATATTTGAATGAAAGAAATGCGAATACAATTCTTTTAAAGCTTATGCTGACACCGACAATGCAGATAGAAATTTCACCTTTCGTTTTTTGAGGAAACTTAACAACTTGGAAAAAGGAAAAAATAGCTAGAAATTTTTTCACGACGTTATTTTATAAGTAGCAAACAGTTAGTAGTCAAGTCGTAACAGCATTGCAAGCATTAAGGATCGCAAGCTGGATTTTGTATCAGCAATAATATATACATGCAAGTGATACTAATAGAGCCATATAAAAACTAAAAAATTCATTAAATAGTTCATAAAGTTTAACTCGTGTGGAGATGATAGTATACCAACCCCCACAGTCAGTAATCTGTGGTGATAATAGAGACAGATAGATTGAGGCATAAAATAACGCCACGTGGCAGATAGGGTTGCATGTGTTAGTGTCACGTCACGTCAATGCTCGTTGTAACCACACCATTACCACAAGCTCTCTATCGTTATCAAGAAGAAGGTAGCAGAACCTGGTAGAGCAACGCATAGAGGAGAGTTTGCACTTTGCACACACAACAGCACCAAGAGAATGGCCACCACACCCTCTTCCTTTGCCACTATGGTCACCACCTCCTTCCTAAGGAAGCAACCAATGAGCACAAGCCTCAAGGCATTCCCCAACTCTAACACCTTGTTTGGTGTGAAAGGAGGATTTGGAGGACGTGTGACTGCCATGGCCACGCACAAGGTGAAGCTGATCACACCAGAGGGACCACATGACTTTCAGTGCCGTGATGATACGTACATTCTTGACGCGGCTGAGGATCTTAACATTGACCTTCCCTACTCATGCAGGGCTGGTGCTTGCTCTTCATGTGTTGGCAAAGTTGTGAGTGGCGAAGTGGATCAGTCAGACAGTAGCTTCCTTGATGATGGCCAAATCAACGATGGATTTGTTCTCACCTGTGTTGCTTACCCCAAGTCAGATGTTGTTATTGAGACTCACAAGGAGGACCAGCTCTAGTTAACTTGAGTTTGATTTTGTACCATTTTCTCAGGATATTATTATGCTTGTTTTGTGAGAGGTAGTGATTACAAAATTAAGTCTTGGTAGACAGAAGTATAGTGTGTTACTATATATTAAGGGACATTATTCATGTTTGAAAGATATTATTCCTTCTTATGTAACCACTATGCATTTATCATTCACATTATGCCCATTAGTAGTTTAATTATGTGTTTATGCAATGGTTATGAGTTACTCTATAGTTGAGGACCAAGTGAGCAATTCATGGAGCAGGTGTAACAATATAATAGAATTTCCTCTATTTCTCAGTATCCTCCTCCTTATTATTACCTATGTATGATCAGAAAGTTATGCTTTAATTCTTCACTTGTGGTATTAAGTGATCTTGTTGTATGTAATAATCTTTTCCTTGCTGTTTCTGCACTGTCCTTTCCTCTTTCTGTGTTGAATAACAACTCTGATCTAACTTGCATTTCCCTAATAATTGATGAAATTGCTTCTTACAAATGTTCTTAACTTGTTATAGAACATGATGTTAATACGGAGGATTACAGTTCCAAAATGCTAGGAAGTAAATTGTATGGCCAATTTTTTTTAACCTTCATATCACTTCAAAGAAGAGGGAGATGATATCTAGCTGTATGTGCAGTACAAGGTAGCTTCTTCATTCTCCACTACTTGCGTCTATGCTTCAGAGCATTTAAGACTGATTTTTACATATATGCTCTATGAGTTCCAACTAGTTCTGAAGTAAAACTTCAAATATGAAACATTAATAAATCATGTCTTCTGAAACAAATCAAGAAGAGTGTCAACTTTTGCTTCCTCTCCATTGCCAACATGGTCTTCCCCGTTGTATGACGGTTGTGGGGGATTATTAGTATTAGTATACACAGACTCAGACAAATACTCGGTCACCTTAATTGAATCTTTTGGATTGTTGGGAGTCTCAAAGTTCAGCTGGTCTACTGAAGTCACTGTTATCTGATTCAAAGACTCTAAGGATGAACTTCGAGTTAGAGTACCGGATACAACTGTTATTTCATCCCTCTCATCAATTGTTGATTCGAGGGAACACACTGATCTTGCGGTGTGTGAATGCACCGAGTCATGCTTAGACTTGTGTTTTACTCTTTTACACCAACTATGCAGAGACTCTCGAACACTCTCAGCTACTAAGGCCTTCTTACATCGAGATCCCATCTGGAGTGAATCAACAAAATGGGATAAAACATATTATTGCTTTCACATTTCTGATGGAACACTAACGAAAAATGAGACTCAATAAAATAACATTAAATCGGTTTGGATATAAGTTAAAAATACTTTTCAGAACTTCTTTATTAAAAAATGTTTTGTTTTCAATAGAGAAATTTTCAAAAATTCTTCTAAACTTGTATCAAATAAATTCATTATAAACATCTAATGTGAATTGCAAAAGGATTACCCTGAAATGATAACGTAACAATCCATAATGAGGATGCACAACTAGCTAGCCACTTTTATACTACTAAATTTTATTTCCCGTTTATATTGATGGTGACATGCCCAATTTGAAGTTCAGTGATAGTGAAGTTATCTTCACTTGTTTCTTGTGGATCTGTGTTATTTTTGTGATGCCATATTGTTTCAGTTTGACTATTCTGCCTTGGTTCTATCAGCTTGTGTGCCTCCCTAATGCACTTTTTATACAAGAACTTAACGCAGAGAGAGTTAAGTCAACCTGAGAAACTATAATATTCAGGGGCACTGTCATATAGCTACACCAGAATTGAACAAGAGCACTGCAAGTTTAAAAATAAGAAAATGTGAGAGTCCCTGCAGATTAAAGCAGTGTAGAATCCAGAAAACTAGTAAAAAAAGGTAGAACAAAAAAATCTTGGAAGAGAGGTGAAACCAACCCAGAAGCCAACCGAGTGATGATCATGTAATGGTTTCTCGTGAAGCACGATTGTTCTTGGAATCCCCACTAAACAAACAAAATCAAGAAAACTTATCTAATACACGCATGTCATAAGCAAAGTACACAATCGTGAGAAATTGAAGTCTTACCAATGTCCAAATAAATGTTGCCATTTCAAAGGCATTCTGCATGAACAGTAGAGAAAAATAAGAACAAAATACACAACCATGCAGCATCATGACCCAACTACAAATAAACTGTTATCAATTCATACCTGAAATATGACAAATTGTATCAGCCATAACAGTATATCTGGCTTTTTGAACCAAAAAAGATCATCGCGCGGCTTCACTTGTGTCCTAGCAGATGGACCTGTCTGCTTCATAATTTCAAGTGCTAAAGTGGATACAACATGTTGAAGTTTTGTCCCTATCAACATGACAAGCTTTTACGTGTAGAGAAATCAGACCTTAAGGAAAATAACTTTCAATGAATTGTTTCATTTTGATTTTTTGAAATATCAAATTAGAATATACATACAATTGCAGGGATAAATGATAGCCAGAAGTATATATTCAGACCTGCAAATTTAGAAACTTTTAAATATCTGAGGAAATTACTCGAACACACTATGGCATAACTCCAAAACGAAGAAGAGAAGTTACCATGGATGTTCACGAAGATGCAGACTATGGCATAAAGCCAAAGTGGCCAGCTGCAAAATTGAAAAATAATTTATTCAGCTCTCTAAGTTTTCTCATTTCTTTTTAAATAAAACTTTAAGTAGAAGTCTAATTTATAAATTATCTGTGTTTGCTACAATAACTCTGGAGTTTCTCCCATAGGAAACTTCATTTCTCTTCACTCCATTTCTTATGTTAATCACAAGCTTTCCATTATAACTAAGAAACTTATTGTTAATAACTAACATCGGTTTGCTACACAGTAACCAGTTGAAAGGAAAAATCCATTTCAAAAGGTTTCATACCTTATTCCTAGAATGGCATGAAATTCATCTTCCATGCTTCGAACCACATATTTATGAAAATTATAAGACAACGGCAATTTGTGTTCCTGTAAATTTTTAAAGCAGGGAGCAAATTAGACTAGTGGTATGGAATAAAGCCAGCGAGGAAGATGACAAGCAAGTAAATCCTAAAATTCTCGTACGATGATCATTTGTGTGAAAAATGACATGGATTTATGATTTGTGAAAGCAAAAAGTACCCTTCAATCCATCATGTATAACATTTTAGAAGAAGGTTCCATCGATATAGAAGAATTAAAAGATCATGCCATCAGGTAACAATTATGGATAATCAAATGTCCAGGCATGCATTATTTTGTCCTAAACCCCTCAACAAATAAAAAACTTACAGTGATGAAACCTAAACGGAGTGCAAGGTAATCTGATTTTTGTATAGAGCTCCTAAACTGACGTAGAAAACAGAGCTGCATGGTCAGGTCACAAATTTTAATCCACTATTGAGACATTCAAAATATGCACAAGGCTGATATAATTAGAAGCAAGGAGAAAAGTTGTTAAAATAATTTCAAATCCAGGAATGTTTCCTTTTCTTATCATACTTTGGAATTATTACTAAAATTTTAAACTGAAAGATGTTTAGTTAGTTCAATTTCTAGCAAAATGGTCCATCAAAATGTCATCTCAGTAAAAATAAGGACACAAATAACTAAGGAACTGCAATTTATATTGACATATATTACCATCCAGTTTAGGATTGGACTCCTGCTCCATGGATGAGATGTGTGATGGAAAACAAATGTTGTCTGCCGCCTCATAACCTTTATTTTCTTTCCTGTTAGAACAAAAATTAGTAAAATTATAGGACACATTATTAATTTGTGATACGTGGTGCAAAAATTATTACTTATTACATGAGAAAAAAAGCAGAGAAACCATGTTTTGGGGCTTTTCCCCCTCAGTCATTTGTTTTCATTGACAAAGTTCCTAAAGTGGTTGGTCAATGAAGTACCATTATATACTAATTACCTTGCAAGTTTCCATCGATTGCCATCTTAGCCTGATTTTCCCATCTGCGCCAACTATAGATCTACAAACACATGCAAGTGCAACAATGAGAAAATAAATCCCTACTTGCTTAGCAGTTGGGATAAAGAGACAAGCAAGCAAACTACTGATTATAAGAACATTGACACGTCTTAATAATTGTGAATATTACTGTATTGATGTTGCTAAAACACCTCAAGGGTTCATAAATGTGCCAAGGAGAAACGTTGTACATAATCCTATAAAAAACTAAAAACTATTTTGACTGACCTTGCTCATTGCTAAACCAACTGCCAGACAACTATACATAACATGAGTGATCCCAAGAACAAATAAGAACCTGTGCAGCTGCTCAAGGCCCTCATATGAAACAAATGGTTCATGGCCCTGCATTCATTTATTAGTTTTTTCAGAATGGTGAGTTGTAGTATTGCAAAGAAAGAGATTTAATCTCAGTCCGTTCAACAGAAGAAAATACCCTGCAGTTTGTTTTCCTGGAAAGCAAAGCCTAAATGTAATTAGCAAAACCTAAATGTAATTAAAGTAAGTTACCGCTCCACATTGGTTGAATGCTCCACTATTTAGACCCTTTGGAATAGTAGTTTCATCAGGGAAAGAGGACAAGCTTTCGTGCATGATATTCTCAGTCGTGCCCAGGTCTTGTGCAGAACAAATATAAAATCGACTGCTAAAAAGTGATGAATCCACACAAATTTCGGAGATCCACCTTGCACTTTGTGCCAACAACAAAGAGATAAGCCCAAGCAGCATCAACTCTATCACAAAGGAGCGATCCAAGTTAAATACAAAATTAAAAAACCATTAAAGCTGCCAACTCCACAGCCCTTCAAAATCGAGGAACAATATTAGTTACTCAAGTACATAAGTTAAAGTGGAACTAATCATATTCAGTGTCCTTACCTTCCTTAATTTTCTCCAGTGAAGCAAAAAGTGCCTTCCTTCTTGTTTTCCTCAACCACTGCAAAGCATGGAAAAACAAGTTTCATATCTTCTTCATGAGATTTTTAAAAACTACAATTACTTGTGTTTATCAGTCCACTTTTTTTTTTTTTTTTTTTTTTTTTTTTTTT